TTCCCCTCAGATTTCACTTCTGACCCACCTTCTCTGCCACGGACCGGGCGGGCTAGGAAAGAAGTAAAATATTTTGCAGAGTCTGATGAAGAAGAAGATGTTGATTTTGCAATGTTTAATTAAGTGCCCCAAGAGCACAAATATTTTAACAAATACCTTGTGTTGTCCTTTTGTCTTTTCTGTCTCAGACTTTTGTACATCTGGCTTATTTTAATGTGACAATGTAATTGATGGTTTTTTATTGTGGTAGGCCTTTTAACATTTTGTTCTTACACATACAGTTTTATGCTCTTTTTTACTCATTGAAATGTCATGTACTGTCTGATTGGCTTGTAGAATTGTTATAGACTGCCGTGCACTAGCACAGATTTTAATTGTCATGTTTGCAGACTACAGACCTGCTTTTTGAAATGAAATTTAAACATTAAAAATGGAACTGTGTTCTGTCTCTTTACAAAAGTAGTTAAAGGTCTCACACACCTTTAAAATAAATATATTTTATTTTTTGCCAGGAGACTCCATGGAAAAAGGTAAACAGTATATGAACATAGAAAGCATTGTTAAACAATCTCAATGTACAAACAGAGCCAGTGAAAAGTACATCACAGACTTGCTAATATAAAAGAAAATCCACTAGTGCTTAAATGAGAACTAAGAAACTGACACTTGTATCTGTTAACCACTCTACCACAGCTTTCACTCTGATTCATAGTGATTGAACAAGGTCAAAGGAGGCAGATTCTGTGCCCATGCCCTAGGGAGTTAATGTTTACCCGGTGGCATCAAGAAGACCGGGAAAAAACAAGTCCCAGTATTGGGCATGAATCAGGAAGGACACTAGAGTTACATTCGTGGTAGACCAATCTCACTAATTATCCCATGAAATTTCCCTAATGGCTTGTGAACAGGTAAACAAAAACTTGTTAACACTGAAAAGTGTTTTTGCCTTGGAGGCTATCATTACTGTAAAAATGTAGCATTTTTAAAAAGTTGTGTAGTTATGTCATTAAACAAGTAATAATAACCACTTAATTTAAAGTGACATTAACAATTGAACAAATGACATTTGATTAACTGAACTGGCAGTTACACTGATACAGAATTCTCTTCTGCTAGTACAGTGAATTTGTATACTTTTACTGGGCAATATGAAATAAAAGATGCAATTTGAGAGCATCGAAAAGAGCAAGGACAAGCTTCCAAACTAACTAAATTAGAGTATCTTTAGTCTTGTCATACTGTACAATAGTCCTGTTTCCTTACCTTGAGGTCTTGAGATTATTTCAAAAGCAAGCTTTCTTAGGTGGACCTGTACAGTAGTCTATTTCATAACCTTGGTGTCTTGGTTATTGAGTATGCAAGACAAAAGGAAAGCACCAAACGTACAGTATAGAAAGAACAGAGCCGTACTTCGGTATGTACAAAGTCTTCAGAAACTTAACCAGGGTAAATTATTTTGAATGGGTCTTTGCCATGCAATCTTGACTGTTCAAAGAGGAAAATAGAAGCTCTTAACTAGTTTCTGTTCGCATGAAATGGCTGATTTTTAGAATTTGAAAAGTTTGTATTTCTAGGTAAGTTACACAGTGAGGAGTATATATATATTGATACATACGAAAACTTCTTGGTCCTTCTTGAGTTGTATTTTCAGTCCAAAAACTAAGCAGCAGTAAAAATGTTTTTCCTTGCATTTTAAATCCCGGAACTGAAGGTACTGGGGAATGTTTGAAGTGGCTGGAAATTGTCTTATTGCACCAGTGGTGACTGACTGACTCCGCTGTTTTCCACTGAGCTAGGTGAGATGCTGGGGCTGTGCTCTGCTGTGTTCCCACTTGGACTTGGAGTCAGAGGTTCATGTCCTTCAGAATTCTCCAGCATTTCCTGAATGAGAGGGGGCATTGATCCAGGAATTTCCATTTTCAAGGTAATTACTCGTTCTGCGCCTTTTAAAAAGAGATAATGGAAATCTGATTAAGAATTTAAGCTAGATAAAAAAGGGACCAACTTCCATCTATGTTAGTGTATTCAGACTTCAGAATGAATTATCAAATACTGTATAGATAGCAGGTGGCTTTTGTCTTTGCTGAAAAAGATCCATTTATTACTATAGCTCTCATAAACACAAATGGAAGTATATTTAGAGTGGGAGCTGCAGCCATCAGAAACCCATAGTGAACTGTGAAGCAGACGAGGCTCTTAACCAGTTCAGGGTCACAGTGTGCTGATAGAGGATTTCTTTACTAGGAGAGACCCTGTTTGATCTTTTATGAAAGCAATAGTTGATGCCATTTTTCCTCTTGAAACAAAATTTCGCAAGCAATGCCATTAGTTAGGTAGACACTACCCTAATTTTACATTAATGACTTAACAGTTTAGCCCAGGGGTGACTTGGGCAGTGCATTTGTTTACGTCCTCACTAACCAGAGCATCATTCAGGCAGGTGTTGTTTAGCCAATCAATTCTTATAGTAACTAAATTAGATAAAATTGTCTTTTTAATATTTCCTGTTATAAAAATCAATGAAAAAAAATTACAATTTTTGGTCATCCTACATTTATATAATTGGACTGGTAAGTGGTTAAAATGTTTTTACTATGTGGAACAGCAGCAGAAATATGGTGACATGTTTAAATTTTATAGTTCCAATATCTCAGTCAGTTAACATAATTTATAAAGACGAGTTTATGGTAAAAGACCAGAAAAAGTATGCCTTAAAAATACAACAGTCGAAAGCATGCCAGTTGCCCACAAAAGTAGGAACTGACTAGCTCATGTACAGAGATTTTCAGTGTCCTAACTTAGCATTGTATGGCCAGTAACATGAGCCATATGTGGTTCAACTGAAATTTATTAAATACAGTTAGAAAAACTGTCTCAATTACATTAGTGAAATTTAAAGTGTTTGAGAACCATGTGACTGGTGGCTACCATATTAGAGCAAACTGAGTATTTCCTAATCACAGTAGATTGTTAGCTATCACTGGACAAGCTATAGAGAATGATAGTATTGACTTCTCTTTTAAAATTTAGGATATAGTATTCATAATTACACTGGTCAAGCACTGAAATTGCTTTTTCCTAATCCTAGTAGGGATGAAAGTCACTGTCAGACAAGTTCACTGTGCTTTTAAGCATTTTCCAAAATGTAGTTTCTTCCTTGACTTGCCAGGGTCTTTAGGTACAGAGTACGCTAAAGAGGAAGGAAAGTGACAAATAACAGTACATTTGGTAGGAGGACTAGCTGCTGAATGTCTGTCCACATATATTAGGGTTTTTCTAACACTCAATTGGGCACTTCTGTAATTGCTTGAGGTGCCACATAAACTGAAAATCACCAGGCAAAGAAATTTACTTCTCTCAGGAAAGCAAGAATTCTTTATATTGGAAGTGTGGAGAAGTAAATCTGCCTGCATGCTAGAGAGCAGTGGCCACAAGACTGAGAGAGAAATTTAACCCCTAAGTACTATTCATTTGACTTGGGATTAGGATGTTAAGGAAAAACTGAAGTCAAATTTATATAAACAGATGTCAGGAAACACGGAGTGAAATATATGAAATCAGCAAGCAAAAGTATCATAGTATCTTATTTGAAAGCAATAATTTTTCTAATTAAACATCTGAAATTTAAAATTCTCAATAATTTATTAATGTCATTGAGTACTGGTATCTGACTTTTATTTCTATTCTTAATACTCTACTAGCAACAAACCTGATAAGTGTCATGGAAGACACCTCTTAAAAGGAGCTCAAGAACCAAGTAGGGTTTGGTTTTCCTTTTTTAATCAAGAAAAATTGCTTAATCCCTTTAATTCTAATGAGAGATAACTGCTGAATTAAAACATGGGCTTTTACAAAACACACCCAGGAAGGCCCTTGCCTGCATGCTGGGACTGCAGCAGACCTACCTTTAGCACTGATACTGCGGAGATCTGTGATTTTCATTAAGATCTTTGGAAACATGTGAGGCTTGCTCGGTCGCCTTTTTCTGATATAAATTTTTAGTGCTTCCAGCAATGGTTCTTGTAGCTTATCTACTTTGGTTGGTTCCTCAAGGTCCTGACGGTCTAGATAACAGTAAAATATTAAACAACATCAGGACAGAAAAGATTAATGCTTTCCAGGCTATGTGATTTCTGCCCATTTTCCCACTTCCTTGTTTCCTATTACTACTACATTATGACTATTTCTTGATTTAATCTCATATTAATTTAAATAACTGTCCCCCTAGTCAGGGTAATGCACATTTAATTTTGGTTGGTTTTGTACAAAGGAACAAATTACCTCTTGTGACCAGGAGATGTCAGTGCTGAGTTGAATTAAAAATAAACCTGGTTATAAAAGCCAGGTAAATCTGTCCCTTAATTAAAACCATTACTTTTTAACCACTTGAGGTTGAGCCTTGTGAAAGCCAGCAGGGGTCACTACACAGAAGAAAGCATGTTTTATCTCAGTCCTCCAAAGCTGGGTGGGCTGCCCAGGCAATAACTTGTATTCTCAGCTGCTATATTAGCAAACAGAGCATTGGGTCATCATTAAAATGTCCTCAGGCAATTGACAATAGTTTGATATTCCATTTAAAAAAGGACCCACAGTCCCTGGAGAATCTGACATTTGTCTCAGAGCAAAAGAATTCCAGATACCATTATTTATTATAACAATATAGAGAAACCCAGGCACGTATGTTTTGTTCTCATGCTTTCCCCATGCAAAATAACGCCATTGAAGACCAGAAATTTCCCATAAATTGTAAGTTGTTTTTCAAGGGGTTATATCAAAGTTTGTCTGACAGCTGGTACCTCCACAAATTAGGCAGATGGCACTGAGAAGGCCTGTTTCTGTGTCATCCATTTCCAAAGGCAGGAGCTGGTTGGCAAAGGTGAATACAAGATCAGTCAGAGGACCAAATCCAGCATTGTGCATCTGAGTTCGATTTAGGGTAAGGCCATCTGAAAAAGTCATGGTGTCTTGTTCTGGGGTATATCTGGTGCAAATTCTAAGAATCTGGAAAAAAAATGTTTATTTAATGAATCAACTGTAGTACCCTATCTGACAGCAAAAAGCACCGTGAGGATTTCCAAGGAGCTCATTTCCCATGGGGTAATTTGCCTTGATCTGGGGATGCTGAGTTCTTCCCCAGTTCTTTCAGTAAGACTACAGAAGCCAACTGTAGGGCTGCAGTTATTTAGCAGACGCAGGAAATTTTGAAAAAATAACTTTGTAATAAAGTATTTAAGAGCTTATAGTTTTTAAAATTAAGTACCATTTATTAAATGCCTAGCATGTCACAAGCATTGAACATACTTTATCTACATTCAGTCTTTAAACAGCTGGGCGGTTATACTTTACAGATGAGGATGCTGGTGTCCCATAGCTAACATGTGATTGAACCTGACTCAGAGCCACGTCGAGATCTCTCTCCCATGGTTCCTCTGGCCACAGTGTTACATAGATAACACATATAGTTACACATACTACAAGGTGGAGAAGTAGAACCAGTTGGGTAATAGGGATTTCAAAGAGAAGCTCAGGTACAGCTAAGAGGAAGTTAAGGACAGATCCATGGAGAGCAGGGGTGTTTCAATCCCAATCTGAAATACGGGCAGGATTTCTATAGGCAAGAAGCCTCAGTCACTGATCCATCACCCAGTCTCCCCTCATGTGCCCTTGATACATATCTCCCTGGCCATGCTGAGGCTCTTGCTACCAGGAAAACTTCTCACTGTACTGTGCCTCTAGGTTTCTCACTCAAAGCACAGTACTCTTGCAACTGCCTTGTTTACCTATGTGGTCAATACTGTCTCATGTTCTCAGGACTATAAAATCCCTATGCTGGTAAGGAGCTCTGTGTGTAACAGAGCACTTAACCACCTAAGAGCCACATTTTTCTGTACCAACAATGGTGAAGGTCCTCTGAGGACCAGGTCTCTATATGAGACATTTCCCTCAGAAAAAGCTTCAGAGCTGAAAAAGCACAGAGATATGTTAACAAGTTTTGCAACATGGGCAGAAGTGAATAAGGTGAGGGAACCATGTTTTTTTCCCAGACACTGATACTCAAGTTTGATGAGGGTTAGCCCCATGAGTGACGAGCTTGGTGTCAATCTGGAAAGCAGCTGGTATAAAGGCCTGAACTCTTCCAGTGATGTAGTCATGTGCAGAGTGAGGGCTCTCTGAGGAAGACACAGGACCCCTCGTCCTAAAGCCCCCTCTGCTGTCTATATTCCCACCAGCATTCCTGGAATGAGCATGACTGTCCAGTCCTTGCTAGGGAAGTGGTAAGGGCTGGGGAAAGGCCACTAACAGAGAAGCCCAGCTTAACTTACTGGGGATGCAATCAACATACTTCCTGTCCTTGTGAAGCAGGAGTGGTGCTGTCACACTGGAAAAGTCACACACTCATGTTCTGATGACTTCTGAACTTCCAAGAGGCTCCACTGAGGTGGAAATTGGCCCTCCTGCTACACACAGGACTCCAGTAGTAGATACGTGGGAAAGCAACACATTCACCCTTGCAGGGTGAATATCGGGCCTAAAGGCAGCCAAAACCTGCTTCCTGTGTCTCGCTGGCTAGAATCTCATGAGGCAGAGTGAATGATTAGCACTTTTCACCCCCAATATTGGTTAGCTAATATTTTATTGATCACCTGCTATGTGCCATATGAACTATGTCTAACTAGTACTGTTATCCCATTTTACAGATAAGGAGACAAACTTGAATAACCTCTCCTGGGTCACGTAACTGTGAGATAGCATGACTTGATTTAGGCCATTTCCAGAGCCCATTCTACTGTTTCATACCTGCCTCCCTTCTCTTAATGCCAGTATCTACTCAGAGGATGACTTCTGTCCAGTATTGATGAGGTCCTTTGTGTAGCATGCAGCCTGCACAGCTCTTCCTGGTGGCCTGTGTAGTATAAAGTAGTAGAGCCTGTGGCTTTAGTTTACATGGAGAAAGATGCTGAAATGTCTAAATCAGGATAAACTCCATCTTCCTATTACATGATCAACTTGCACAGTATACTGGAAAGTACCTGAATATGAAATCATGAATGTGAATGGTTATTGAAATGTCACAGTAGTTTCTCTTCATGGATGGTGATTTTTACATCTCATATCTGTGCAGGGACTTCTGAGACAGCCCAACCACTTCTTCTGGGTCCCCAGCTGGCTGAGCTGTTCACTTCATTGTGGTAGCTGATGGAGTTCAAAGCCACTCCCATTAGAGCAGCAAGGAGACCAAGGTATCGCAGAATATTTTATATTCCTCTGAAAGCTCTAAGAGATGAAGTGAGGTGCCCAGGATCACACAAGGAATGTCACCAGAGCCAAGATCATAGGTTTCTCAATCCCTAAAGTTCCTTCGGCTATCTGGAGAAGCATCAGGCATGGCTAGTTATCTAAGGAGTTGTCATGTGACAGTCAAAGTTAGTGGGCTCAGTATCATTTATGGGCTCCACGTTTCCAAGCACTCTTTTAGTGTTAGATTGAGTAGGCAGTGAATAACCTTGTACCTTTAGCATGCTACCACGATATGAATGCATGAATCTGTTCACTGAAAAATAAAAGAATCTGTGGATTTGATGGAACAAAAGGCTAGGACTGAGGTATCTGTCAACAGCTCACTGGGAAATGCAAGTTCAAATTGCAGTACACCAACTATTCTATTCTGAAGGGCTTCCTTCCTCAAAAGTCAGAAAATACCTGACTTTAATGACACATTTAGATTGTGTCCTATTACCTTTGTCCCTAGGAAATCCTAAATCAAGTCCAAATGGCATATCCAGAGGGTATGTAGGTGGCCTGAGAAAGCAGATTACCCAGTGCTTTTATGTGAGGAGCCTCTGTCCTAAAGCAGGATGGGCCAAGTGTGTAGCAGGCATCCTCACAGCTTTTGCCCAGCCCTGCCTCTGTAGAGAAAACAAGTACTGTACTTTCATTTTGTCACACTTAAGTCAAATGCCAGTGGCAATCACAAGTTCTTTTTCAGGATAAAAACACTCTTTGTTTGAAAGGCGGGTATCTTCCCCGGAAAGGACAGCATGCAGGTCTCATGAAACACTGACTTTGGGCCAGATTTGTCGTCTGTCAATCTCCAACAAGTCTGCTGCTTCAAGGCCTGCTCCTTCCTGTGCTTTCAATGATTGTCCCTTAATCATTATGTCTAGATTCTGGGTAAGGCTGACTTACCAAAGGAAGACCATATGGGGTGACAAAATGTTCAGAGTTGATCCTGTTTGGGGCAAAAAGAGCCCTCTCTTCCAGCCATCACCAAAGACAACTACATATCTCCCTGCTGCTTTTGATGAGAGTTATGTTCTGTGCATATCCTGTGAGCAACCTACTTGAAGCTAGAGCCTGAAAAAAATACATGTGGGACCCCAAAGGCAGAAACTGGGACTTTCCCACCAGCCCCCCACCATCTGTTGCCTGGGAAAGGACTCTCATCCCCTCTTTCCATTCCTGCTAGGATGCTATGTATGTAGTCAGTCCCTGGCAGCCAGAGCACACTGTTCAAAATGGTCTTGCTTCCCCTCCAAGGACTCCTAGTTATTTTAAGAATAAAATCTAAACTTCCTTACTCTGGCCAACCCCTACCTCACCAATGTCAACTACTACGATTTTTCCTTGCTTACAGATTTTGGGCCAGATTTGTCTTTGTGAATTTGTGGTAAGTCACTGCTGCTGTAGGTAGGGCCTACTGTTTTCTCTGCTTTCAATGCTGGTCCCTTGATCTTTATATGCTGACTCTCGTTATTCAGAGATCAGCTCAAATGTCACCTTACAATGTGCAGTGAACATGCTTCCTAAAAACCCATAACTTTCTATCATTTTATTTTGGAATATGAAATACAATTATTTAAAAATTGAGTTGTGATAGGTACAGACTCCCCATGACAAATGTTACCATATATATCTAAAATGTACCTATAAAATAAAAGGTAAAGGTTTTTTAAAAATGGAGTTATAATGTGTCTGGCAGTTTTAAAATATGTCCACAAATTCTCTTCTCTTAAAAGTATGGAGATATGTCATAAAAGCCCCATGGACAGGTCAGAACAGCCACCCTGCCAGTACCAGCATGGGCTTGCAAGGTGAACGTAACAACCACCATGGCCACATGCCGTCCATCCTGGTTAGCCTTTCAGCTTGGCCTGGCATTCTGTGACTTCATGAAAGACCCTACCCAGTTAATCCTACCCTATTCCCAGCCCACAGTGACTATGTGAGATAACAGTGTTCATTTTTTAAAGCTGCTAAAGTTTTGTGGTTATCTGTTACCCAATCAAAGGTAATGACATACAAAACTTGAGGTGCACATAAACATCCAAAGTACACCTTAATACATTTTCTCTAACATATACCTGTATAACCATCACTTAGATCAAGATACAAATATTTCTAGAGGTCAGTTTTTCTGGCTGAACTAAGACAAATGGAATCCTACAGTATATTCTGTTTTGTGTCTTTTTATTCACTCACTGTTATGCCTTGAGATTCCCTCATGTTTAATACAGTGGTTGATCACAAAATATAGTGCATGTTTAAAAATTACTGCAGTAAAGGACTTTATCATTAACCTCCCTCGAAATACTTCCCCTTATGTTATGGTTTGTGTTTGGCTACCTCCCTCCAAGTGTCATGCAATCATGGATGTGGTTGAATCTAGCGTTTGTGATAGGTTTGTTGTCTAGCACTGGGATTGGTAATGTGAGTGCTGCACCTGCCCAGGGGTGGAGCTGGCATACAGTGTAAGGATGGGAAGAAGGCATGTTCCCTTTTCTTTGCTCTGCTTGCTCTTGCTGTTTACAGTGGCCATAAACAGCTGCTCTGCCATGTCCCCTGCCTTGGAGACAGCCGAATATGCTTGAAACCTCCAACACTGTAAGAAATAAGCCTTCCCTTGCTGCACTTTGGATATCAGGTATTTTGTCTCAACAAGAGAAGAGTAACCAAGATACTGTGTTTCATCCATCCATCATTCTTGCCACTTTCTGAAGCAGTTTTGGAGATTCCTCCTTTGTGATCATCTTTAGTTGTGCTGTTGTGGCTGGTCAATGTCCTGAATCAATTCAAAACATTTATGGTAATTTCATTCAAGTGAAAACATTTCTGTATGTTCTCATCTACTTTATTCACTGAATCTGGAATTATGCAACTTCTAGGTCTTTCCAAAAGTCAAAATAATCATGAAAACTAAGTATTTTTAATTAATTCAGGACACAGAAGCAGCTACACAGCACAACTAAAGACTCGTGAAAAGACTTTCAGAACTTTCAGATAGCGGCAAGACTGAAATGTGTTTGAAGTAAGAGGAAGTATTTTTGAGAAAGAGTAATAGGAATGTGTTTTTTATTGTAATATTTTTTAAAATTTAAATATTTGTCATATTTTGTGCTGAAATCTCACACATGCAGTGGTAACCCATTCTTTTCTTTGATGTGTAGTATCCCGTAGTAGGAGACATCACACCATTTTATTTTCTTCATTGTGATCTTCACTGTCTGGCCTCTTGGCCTGTCTTCCTTCCTGAACATGAGCGCTTAAGAGTAAAAATGTGCTTCACCAGCCTTGCTCTTGCTGCGCCCTTAGCATCTAAGACAGTGTCTGGCCACACAGTAAGTGGGGTTAATAAGTATTTGTTGAATGAAGGGAATGAACTCCTCTCATTCTTGCCCGCCCTGTAAACCCCTGAAGGGGCATCCAATGACTGTTCAGGGTTTTGGCGAAGGAGCTTGCGAAGGAGAAAGCTCAAATTACTCACCATCTTGGTTTCTACTCTGATTGTGTTTGCAAGTTGTGGGCAGATTCTGATCCAGTTTGACTTTCTCGCCAAGTGCTTGTGGGCAGGATTAAGTAGGGTAAAAACAACAATGACACATTCAGGGAAATAGTACTTGCTGTGACGAGCTAATGGGAGAAAGGTATTCTCCCAGTGCTATCTGCTGCCAGAGCAGCTTGTGGCATGGCTGTGTGAAGGAGAGACTGGGTGAAACCTCGAAGGAAATGCACTGCTTATGGCAGGACTCTCCTGTTACTCTTACCTCTTTGTAGACTGGCACTCTGGTGACCACTTGTTAAAAATGTTGGAGAAATAGGAATTATTTTAGTAGTGTATTTTTTACTTATCAAAAATCGCATCAATATCTAACCAGTATGGACAGTCATTAAGGAGACATGTTACATTTCTGAATACTTATTTTGAACTGCAGTGTTAAGCTTGTAATTGCAGCACTTCTGAGCAGGTCCATTTCAAGGTGTGCTCACTGTGCTACTGATCCAGACGGCATGGCCTCAGATGCTGTTTCCTAATAGTTTAGCGCTAACCAGTTCACAAGATAACCTGGGGCCTTGTCTCTTTTGGGTCTCTGAGAGGGAGAGGGAGGCACAGATTCACATGGGAACAGCCCTTGGGCTGCAGAGCTGCATGTTCTCTAAGACTCTCTAAGAGTCACAAATCACATTTTGATGTCACACAGGCAGACACTTTTGCATCATCGGAAGCAAAGTGCTGCTGTGAATGGCATGGGAATATGTCCTTGGGGGAATGAGGGCAGTGGGAGCAGGACCCAGGAAATCCACACATCCCACAGGGCAGGAACCCACACGGGAAGCTTGCCCAGATGTGATACTTGCAGAGTGGCACAAATCCTGAGATTTTCACTCCTAACTCATTCATCTGTTCATCAATAAATATTCAAAGCTTGCCTCTTGGCCACATGGGTGGTCAGCTCACATGGGTGATGGCCGAGGGTAGAAGACACTGGTCAACAAGTTTCCAAGTACATCATGTCCTCGTTGCAATGAGAGGGCCCACTAGTGCAGTGGGAGGGCAGGAACCAAGCACTGGTTAGGGAGGGCTTTTCTGAAGACCAGGCATGGAAGCTGTGATGAGAAGCAGCTGGCTGAGAGGCAGGAGGCGACCTGGGGGAATCTATACACAAGAAACGGAATGTGCAGGGCCTTTGGCCAGGGAGAGCTTTGTAGAGATTTGAAGAAGTAACCAGAGGTGAGTGGGCTGAAAGAGGTGCCTGCATAGGGCAGGATAGAGGGCAGCTTCTATGCTGGTGAATAGAAGCGGCCAGCCCCACTCTGCAGTTCCCGTGTGGGGAAATATGGGCACTGGCTTGTGTAGACATGGATCAGCCCAGCCAAGACAGGCCAGCCTGGAGTCCTGATCCAGGGCAGTGAGACAGACTCACCAGCACTTCTTGGTGGCCAGGGGGCTAGGATTCAAACTGTCTTTTGAATTACAAGTGAATCATTGCCTCTCATTGTGTTGCTAACATGGTTTAATTTCACTCTAAAACATAGAGCTTCTTATAGAACCTAAGTCCTCCACCAGACTTTCAATAGTTTCTGGAAAAGCAAATCATTTTTATCAGAAAACTCAAGTTCCTTCCTTCATGAAAGCAATTTTTACCTCCTTTAGCCAGAGGCTGACCCCCTCCTTCAGAGGACCCTATAGACCTTGGCTTCCACGCAGGCCTCCACTGCTTCACCTGGAAAATGCAGATAATAGAACCCATTGGATGTGCTGAGGCTTAACAAGTAGGATGCGTGAGTCTGAATTTGCCAGATGGTGCTCCAAACCCTGATTTCATCTTCCCCAGACCCTAAAAGAAGCTTCTGATAGCACCATCTTAAAAACGCTGACATGGGCTCTGAGAGGGGAAGTAATGTACTAAAGTCACACAGCTAGTTGGCAGCAGCATGTCATTTTGAATCCAGGTAAATTGGCTTCAGACCTATGGCCACTGTCAGCAGTGAAGGCAAGCTGAGGGGGCGAGACCCACGCCCCAGTGGGCGGCTGGGGGAGGACAAGGCTGGATAGAAGAGCAAGCACGTATCTCTTCTCTCCACCATTGTTTCCCCAGTGTCCAGCACACAATAAGTGCTTAGCAGACACATGTGAGAATCATTGCTTTGACCAACACTTATTCACTCCTATATGCTAGTATAGAGTGAGCGTGTGTAGCAGCAGTGAGAACATGCTATCTGTACTTCTGCTCAAAATCTAGAGATTTCAGTGATACTAAGAATGAAAATCTGCATGTGCTCCTGGATCCTCCCTGATACCAAGTCTTCATGCCCCACTTCTTTCCTCCCGTCCAGGCACACTTGTGGCCTGCTATTACAGTTTAGATGTAGGTATCTCCCCAGAGCCTCAGATACTTGTAAGTCGGGCTTTGTGGAGCTGATTGACCTACGGGGCACGGTATTGGCCAGGCGTTAGTCTATTGAGGAGTTCATTGCCGACTTCCTGTTGGAAGGTGGGGTCTGGTCAGAAGTGGGTCACTGGGTGGAAGGGTTTATATTTTCCTCACTCCTCCTTTCACTGCTTGCTATGCCATGCCGTGAAATTCTCTGCCATACTTTCCTGTCTCAGAGCCACCTGATGATGGACTCAAACCTCTACAAACTGTGAGCTAAAAAAAACCTGTTCTCCCTTAAGCTGTGGGTGTTGAGTATTATGTGTCAGTGAAGAGACACCTGCTGTTATTTCTCACACTCTCAGGGCTGCTCTTACATCAGGGCCTTTGAACTTCACCATTTCTGGTTGCCCTATGCTGATCAGTGGTGTTTCTTGGTTCTGGATTGCACTGTCCATTCAGGTCTCTTCAAAGATTACCTGTTTCCTTAATGTGCTAGAGTGTCACACTGTGTCCTTTCCTTTTGCTTCTATTTCTTTGTAGCACCTAAGGCACTGTTTAATCTGTCTGTCACCCATGACACCCAGTAGAAGGTCAGTCCCACAGGTGCTAAGATTTCAGTCTGCTTGGTTTACAACTGTGTCCACAGAGCTGGGGACCATACCTGACACAAGCAGGTCCTGGGTATTTGTGGAAAGAAAGGATGAAGGACAGAAGATGAGAAGAAGTAACCATGGAAGAAGAGGAACCACAGAGATAGGGGCCTGCAGAAAGCAGCGGAAGAGAGGGGCTAAGGAAGATGCAAGAGATTAAGAAAGAAGAAACAAGGGAAGAGTTCAGACAAGGGATGCTCTGGGACCCGTCCTGACAACATCCAGGGATGCTACAAGTTTTAGGTCAGAAAAGGAAAGGAGAATCCTTCCTGCAATGATTGTGAAGAGTTTTCCCATCTCGATAGTTATTTTGACTGGTTGGCCCCAGTGAGAAATCATGCAATTCAAAGCTGGGCCTCAGCTTTCCCTGCCTTATCCCCTGGGCAGAAGCCTAGCACTGGACTCTACACCAGTGGTCCCAGCCCCTGGAGAGGGCCCTGTGGTGGAATAGCTGGAAGGGAAGACAGGACAGGTGTGCCTTTCCCTCCGATTCTCGCACTCATGACAACAAATCAGCTCTTACTCAATGCCCTGCTGGATGTATCAGTGAACTCTGTCTACTTCTCAGAGAACCTGCCTGGCAGCAGCGTGACCTGGGACAATGGCCTGTCTGGTTAGACCGTACACCACGTGAGATGGTTAACACTCTCAGTGGGTGGCATTCATTCAGGTTGGATGACCCTTGGGACAATCTGAGCTCTCATTTGTTGGGACTGAGAATGACTTCAGCCTAAATCTGCCTGGTGTCTTCACGCCCATCAATAGATCAAATGAGATTCTTCTAAATGGTTCCACCAAAGGCTTTTCTTTGAATTTGTGCATTTTTTAGGATCTTGTGATTGTCTTTTCTATAAATTCTTGGAAATGAACTCTTGTCTAGGGATAAATGAGCATGCCTTCTGATCCATGTTATACGACTGGAGGCCTTTGCTCTTCCCTTTGAGGGTTTTTCTTCTTTTGCCAGCTGCACCTCAACCAACTTTCTCCACCCCAATGAGGCCAGAATGGCTCAGGGCACGTGGATTGTACCACAGCGTCAAACTGTACCACCCCTTTGCCTTCTGCCTTCCGTATCCTTGGTGAGCTTCTGCCACACACTAGGATCCCATTACCATATTTAATGGCATTAAATAATGCTGGAGATTGACCAACGAGTGCATTTGCAGACAAAAGCATCCTTTCCTTTCCTCATCCCAGGCACACTTGGGAGGTGTGGGGCAATGCATGCTGTAAGTTGCTGGAGCATTTTCATAGGTGAGATCTCAATCCCATGGAGCCGAGGTTGGCAAACTCTACAAGTTAACACTGCTCTGAGGGCCTTGTTTTTCTGAAACGTTCCTGGTTCACCCTGAACTCTGACTTTATGAGAGGAAAAACAGATGCTCTCAGGTTTCTGGCTCCTGTTTGTCACTGAGGCACCATATCATTCTTCTGCAGCTCTAATCAATCAACTAAAGGATGAGCAAAGCTTGCTATGGTGTGGGTATGTCCCCTAAAATTATTTTCCTCAAATCCATATGTTAACTAGAGGGGAACCTTTGTGGCCCCACAGTGGGACTGGGGCTCCTAGGAGAGGAAGAGAGGCCCAAGCTGGCACACTCACAGTCTCACCATGTGCTGCCCATACATAATGTGGCCAAAGGGCCTCACCAGATTGGGAGCAGATGCCAACACTGTGCTCCTGGACTCTCCAGGCTCCAGAGCCAGGAGACAGATAAATGCCAATTGCATACAATTATCCTGTCTGAAGTACTGTAATTCTGTTAGAGTAACAAAACACACGCCCATCCAGGATCCTCTCTCCTCCTGAGTCGGACTATGTGTGTATGTGTTAAATTACGGAGACGAATGGTACCCACTTTCAGAAAGGCTTGAACCCAAAGTCAGGAAATATATAACAAAAAGGAAAATCTGTACATGCAAAGCTAATTTTCTTTTTCCTATTTTCCGATGTAACTCTTTGACTTGCTCCTTGGCCTCTCTGTGTCAGCCCTACCTCCAGCAAGGCACATCACTGCTACCTTAGTGGGAACGACTCCTGTGCCCAAGGAAACAGTCGCAGCTGGAACTGGTCACCTTGTCCCTGAAACCTTTGGAGGACAGAGAGGACAGACATTCAGCCAGCAGAGGACAGCAGAGACCACAGAGGAAAAGATGTGATGGTCGCTGTTCCCTAAGACTATAAACTGCAGTGACTAGCCGGGAACCAAGTGGCATCAGGATCTTTGTGCACTTGAAGAAATAGACCCACCCAGGAGCTATACACTGTGTCCCCAGCCCCAAATTTGTATGGAGGTTCTGACTGCCCATGTGATGATATGATGGGTGACAGTCATAAGGGCAGAGGCCCACAAAAGGATGAGTGCCCGCGTACAAAGGTGAAGGGACCAGAGTTCACTCCCTGCCTCACAGGAAGGCAGCCATCTGTGACCCAGGTGCAGTGCCCTTACCAGCCCAGCCACACAGCTGCTCCCTAATCTTGGCCTCTTGGCATCCAGAACTGTGAGAAATAAATGCCGCCATGTAAGCTGCCTGGTCTCAGATTTTTCAGCCGAAACTAACACAGGAGGGAAGAGGTTTCCTTAAGGCTACAAACAGAAGTAGTGCAAAGTTGGGGTAAGGATTGAAGCCACAGGACTAAAGAATCCATATGGTCGGTCACAAAGATCTATGGCTGTCCCATCAAAAGGGCTACAAACATCCCTTGAGCCTCTGAGGGAAGGCGGAGTATGAGCAGAAGGGGAAGCAGAAGGACATTCTAATGATGTCCTGGCCTGCGCTGGGAAAAGGAGGCAGACGCTAGCCATCATGGCAAGGGTGCTTCTGGCCCCTCCCAGTATCATGCCAGGGAAGTAAAGCAGGCAGGTTATGACCAACCCCAGGGTCTTTTCGAGATCAGATGGCGATTCAAACAGAAGAAAGGGCCTCTGTGAGCATAGGCAGTTGTAGGAAGGGAGGCTGGGAAATGAGAATCTCCGGAGAGCTCTCCAGCCTCTCAGTGACCCCACACACCTCATCCCCACTCCTCCAAGAGCTCAGAAAGGCTCCTACCAGAATATCCAGGCAGGCGGCCTTCAGCAGGGTGATCTGGTCGGCGATGGTCAAGCTGGTGAAGCCTGGCAGACGTTTAGCAAACTCCACAATCTTAATAATGCACTTGGTGGCCAGTTCACTGAACTTGTCCCAGAGGCCCAGGTCCAGTCGGACTCGATGATCAGCACTGGAATTCTGAGAGAAAGAGAAAATACCTTTAGATGTAGGTTCTGAAGCCCAAAGCAGGGCAGAAAACTGTCTTCCATTAATGGGCTGTCACTTTAGCCTTGACCATGAAGCTTCTTGGGGAGGTAGTTTAAGTGCTTAGTGTGAATTCCATTCATCTTTTTAAAATGTTCAAGACCTATGTGTGAACTACTGTTAATAACAGATGAGGGTAAGTTTCTTTATATGCAACTACCCAATAGTGTCAGGATGTAATTTTAGAACCATAATGAATTAACAGCTCTAGGCATCTACAATCAGTGGTGGGTAATATCTCCTCCTACCCCCAGTACTGGGAACTGCATCCAGGGTTTGCACTGAACTACATCCTCAGTCATTTTTTGTTTTTTACTTCAAGACAAGGTCTTGCTTATTTGCCCATGCTGGGCTAGAACTTGCAGTCCTTGTACTTCAGCATCCTCAGAGTGCGGGGATTACATGGAGGTGCCACTGCACCTGGCTGATGGTGATATCTTAGAAATAGGCAACTTAACACATGGATGTCCCCATGGGAAGACACACTACAACCTAGGGAAGAGTCTGGCCTGAGTTAGACTTGAGCTAAACAGAGCCTCTAGAAATTAGGGACATGGTAGATAATACCACAGGGCTGCCACTCTCAACACCCAGAGGTCCTATAAAACCAACCGACAGAACTGTTCAACAAAAGCATTGCAAGGAGAGAAAAAGAAAAAGATTAAAAGTGAATCGAATCAAATGTACCAATGTTAAATGGATGACAAATGATGATGCAATGAATGACAGGGAGCATTCAAGGAAGGAAATGGGGGTGTGGGATACAGCGTGGATGTACCTCAGATGCACTGTGCTGAATGAAGAAGGCAGAGTTAAAAGCCTACACATAAAATGACTCCATCCATCCACGTGGTCTTCCGGAAAAGACAAAACCACAGTGATAGAGACCACACTGCTGGTTTACAGGGGTTGACCAGATCCATCAGGAATGCATATTTTTTGGGATAATGGAAATGTACACTTGGTGTCATGATTACATGACTGTGTACTTCCACTGCACTCAACAAACCGTATCTTTATGGAAGATTAAAAAATTACATTATATAAATTATGCTCTAAAAACTTAAAAACTATGTAAGAGACTTACATAGATTCAGTGCTGCTGCTTCTCCCAGCAGTGGCCCACACCTGCTCATGAGAGCTTCAATTCTGCTGTCTTCTGAGATAGGACTGAACCCTCTGGTAAGAGGCAAGGCTCCCCAAGACAGGTGTTTCACCTTCTGAGAAGTGAGAAGTTCAACAGAGGGCTATAAACTATAAACTATTGGAGTTCTGATTCAAAAATACTGTAAAGAAACTTTGATACATTTGAGAAAAACTAGAAATTTGAGACATTATGTGTGAGACATTAATTTTAAGGGGCTAATTATGGCATTGATGGTTGCTTTGTTTGCAGATGTTACTTTAATTTAGAACACAGCTTCTGGAAGGGCTCTAGTCTGGTCAATCAGAGTACTATTACTTTTAAATGCTGTAACTGGTCAAGAAAAGTACATATGAGCTGTGTGTGGGGCTGCACGCCTGTAATCCCAGCACTTGGAAGGCTGAGGCAAAAACAAAAATGGAAACAAAAACATGAAAACAAAAGTATATGTGATCCAGAGGAGGCCAGTAATGCTCAGTTTTGAGATTTTGGTGAGAAGAGCTGAGAGGCTCCCTGTCAGTGATGAGTATGTCCAGGGACCAGCAGGAAGAGGAAGCTTCTGTAACAAGGAAGTCAATTTAGAGGAAAGCTGAAAGGAAAGACAGAAGGACTTTCTGAAGACAATGAGCTGCTGGATAAAGCCTGATTACAAACAGATTTTTTAAAAAAAATCTAAGTTGAGTTTGGTTTCCATCACCAGCAAGCATTCTGACTGACATATATGGACACTGTCAGCTTTTAGGAAGGAGGTTCTGCTCCTTGCCACCACCCACTCCTGCTGGGTCAGTGGAGCAGCCTCCTTGCTGCTCCTGCTTTTCCTACTCTGGCCTCGGCAAAGCAAATCTGTGCTCATCCAAATGAAAAAGGGCTCCTTAAAAACACGAGACACTGCTCACACTCTCCAGTGCACTGTCATCTTACTCAAGCTGAAAGCCAAAGTCCTTGTAGTGAGCCTCAGGGCCCTACCCCATCAGGTCCCTACATCCTCAGTTGTTTTTTGTTTTTTGAACTTACTTACTTAGTTGTCCATGCTGGGCTAGAACTTGCAGTCCTCGCGCTTTAGCCTCCCCAGAGTGCAGGGAGTAAAGGCATGCACCACTGCTCTGACTGTCCCTTGTGTCCCCAGCCCCTATCACACAGGTCTTCTTGCCACATGTGCAGAAGCCAGGCAAGCTCCCACCACAGTTCTGGTACTGGCTACTTCCACAGCCTAGACTGCTTTTTCCCAGACTGCTGAAGAAGGGCACCCCTCCTTCCTTCCAGGCTCTGACCAAATGTCACCACCCCTCTCTCAAGCTTTCCCCAGAACCTCTAGGAAGAGTACAGTACCCTGCCATCCCCAGCACTACACGCTCTGTCTTGCCCATGCTTATAGCCCTCATCTCCTAATGCACACGGTCACATCTGTTTTGATCATAGAACACTAGTGATCCAGTGAGCACATAGCAGGGACTCAGTAAAGTTTGTGGAGTAGCTCAGTGAGTGAAGTTCCCCCACAAGTCCTTGCTTGTTTGAAATGTCCCAGAATAACTCGCTGGGGGCCAAGGTTCAGCGCTGCTGCTTCTCCTAGGCAGTGGCCCACACCTGCTTATGAGGGCTGCAACTCTGCTGCCATCTGAGGCAGGACTGAACCCTCCTGTAAGAAGCAAGGCTCCCCAAGACTGGTGCTTGACCTTCTGAGAAGTGAAAAGTTCAACAAAGGGCACTCTGCATCTCAAACTAGTATCTTTAGTTCTCCACATCAGTTCAGTCCACACGAGTCCATAAAACTAGCTGTTGCTTTAAATGTCTACGAGAGAATTCAAAAGAAGAGTCTGCATAAGAAAGGCCACTGACACCCTAAAAAATGGAGGCCCTCACTGCCTTCCCCAACACTCCTTGGACAGTAAGCATGCATCCTCTGGATTTATTTTATTCCTTCCTCAAGGACCTTGGTGGAACACAGTACACTCGGGGGAACAGAAGATCAAAATGTGTGGCTATTCAGGCTGTAATTAAATTTAATAGGCAGTTTATCTGGTTTGTAGGAAGATGACATGGAAGAGAGGGACACAGCGGCAGCTTACGATGGGAAATCATTTCCAATAGAGTATCCATCTGGAAAAAAAGACATTGCCCAGCCCAGCGAGTGTGAACGAAATCTTCATCAGCGTCGGATGAGGTTACTTCATCATGTGCTGGGCGAAGAGAGAGAAGCCCGTGGCACCTTCTATTAGAAATAATGCACGGCTGTGGTAACAGCATGTAAATCTAACTCACTATTATGCAAACTGAAGGGAAGAGGCAGTTAATAAAACACAAAATAACCTGGTATTTTATTATACTGGCTGCAGGACTCACAGGCATGCGGGTTAAAATGGCTTGTATGTTATCTCCCAGCTGTGACAAATGGGGAGCCCTGGCCTTTGGGGCTGGTAATGAAAGGTGTTACGGGGAGCAAGGAGGGAGCCAGGATTTTCAGGGCATTTTAATGTGCAGGGAGGGAAACCAGGCCATAGGAAGGAGCGAGAGGAGCATGGTGGGGAGCCAAGGCCCCTGTGTGACTGTGAGAACAGCCGAGGCAGAAGGTGAGTGCACAGGCTGTGCAGCGCACAGCTCTCCGGCCTCAGCGGCGGAGGGGCAGCGGGGTCTGCATGTCCACCGGGCCTCTCAGGCAGGAGCTTGGGGTACCTCCCCGGAAAGCCGCGTGGGCTGCCCAGATGGAGGAAAGCGCCCTACTGCCCCCCAGGGCCACCTTAAGCCACAGAAAAGCTCAAACCCACAATAAAATCCAATTAAATGGCAATTTCCACCACACAAGTGGATCCCTTTCTTCTGCTGGTTTGGTTCCGTGCTGCAACACAGGCTGCTTTTCTGACTGGCGTTTGCTTCGGAACAAGAGGCTGAATCACCACGGCTGTGAAAATCCCATTTATGAGGCGTTCCAGGTACCATGTACTGCATTTCATTCAGGGCTTATTTGGCTAAGGAGACAATGCAGAATTTCTCCAGAAGCTTAGTTACAGTTTTACAGGAATGTTGAGGGTGCCCATTGAGGAAGCCTCCCTCTTTTTTAGGCCCACCCTCTGCTGTACATCCCAACAAGATGC